CAGGTGGGGTTACACTTCGGTAGAAGGAGCTTTATAAAGGCGAAGGATTGCTTTTAAAATATCCGAAAACATCCGTCTCTGTCTTGACTCTGACTATCGTGTATTAGTCTTGGGTTTTTCCTGCTTCCTCTTCGCCGTGGTTACAATAGTGTTGCTGAGGTGGAGCGCGTCTCCCCCCGGCGGCAGGTCGCGCCCCCGAGCTGTGCTGACGCGGGCGCGCGGTGGCGCGGTCGACAGTTCCACTCTCTGAGGTTTCAGGCTCCGGGAAGCAGGTGAGTCTTCTCGTCTTGTTTTCAGAAAGCCCGGTGCCGCCGCTCTGTGCAAATCGGGGCAGACAAGGGCTCCTGTGGCGCGTTAGTCCGTCCGGGTGGTGCACGTCGGCTGCGCGCTGTGCCGATGGCCGATACTCTCGATCTGAACTCGCACTCGCCACATTTCCAACAGAAACACGGAAATCGAAGTAACTCTGAAACCTTTAACCATAGCTCAGCGGGTGAACTTTTTTTTTTAGCGATTTCGTCTCTGATGCATCTTCCTCCCTTTGATATAAGACAATAAAAACAGGAAACGTCATTAAAATCTGTCATCATTTTTTCTGTTGTTTTTTTTTTTAAACAGTTGGTACAGTTTGAGGTCTGCTATTTCCACGAATGGCCCATTTGAGTCACGAGGGGAAATACGTATTAAATCATTATTAAATCAAATGGAAGCGAACGTTGGGACTCTCTTAGGAGATATTGCGAAAACGAGCGATTTTTTTTTATTTTATTTTTTTTTAAACGAGCGATTGTTGTCCAAGGAAACTCTGCTGCGTTTAGCGACGTGCGCTAACGCTCCCGGCACGAGCTGCCGGAGAGGAACGGGCTCGGGGTCCCGCCGGCACGCGCTGTGTGCGCGCGGCCCGAGGGACGTCGAGCCGAGAGCCGGGAGAGGACGTCTGATTCAGTTTGGCACCTCCTGGGCGGGCGGTGGGGAGATGACGGTCTCTTTTTCCAGCTGCCGCCCTCGGATGTCAACTCGATGATGCGACTCTGAGCTGGCCGTCCGCGCCGCGAGCTGTGTGTCTGAAGAGCCGTCAGGCCGGTTGTGTCCAAAGCGCTGCTTGGCAAGCTGTCGTCTGTCTGCCCTGTCCTGCCTACCGGTCATACAACGATAGTGGTTTGGCAGGACTTAAATAAAAGAAACACCTGAGCTGTCTACAGAGGAACTCGGGTGTCTTTGTACTGCATTATGAAATCAAGAGAGAGATTTTTATAAATGCCTTTCTTTTTAATGCAGTCCCTGCTGAGGTGAGGATCGTTCTGCTCAGGTTAGAAGGATGTCTGAGATTCTGCTGGTCTTCTTGACTTTCCAGCTTCAAGGTAGAGTCACTCCCATCTTTATTCTTCGACCTTATCCATCACGACGGTGGAACCAGAACCTGTTACTGATTCTCGAATCAGAGAGCTCACAGAAGACGGGGTCTCTAGGTCAGTGGTTCCCTTCTGGTCCAGGAGAACCCTGACTCTCCTGCGATTTGCCCCAGACAGGTGGAGCTTGACCGATTGATCAACATGCCATTTTTTAAAGTTGCTGTCGGCACTTAAAAAGATGAATTTGGACGGGATTTGGAATTTTGAAACCAGATCAGCCTTGTACCACTGTTCAAACAGCCCCTGTTCAGGTGTGTTGCCTGACATTTAGTGAAATTGACCTCTGCAGAAGGAAAAAAAAACACTTACGTTGTGTGTCTGATGCAAATGTCACTCCCACCAAACCTAACATAACCTCACTCTCCCTGTGGGTTTTGCTGTTGCATTATCCCTCTGTGTACGATAGGTTAGTCTCTCCCCATTGTGAGTGTGTTGATGTACGGACTCCAATCGTGGGCATGTCTGTTACAAACGTCACCTGCTGCATGACCCCTCCCACAATGGGCGTATGACTCTTAAGCCCTCCCACTGTGGGCATGCCTGATCCTGCACCATGTTGCCCCTCCCACTGTGGGCGTTTGGCTATTGCCCCCTCCCACTGTGGGCGTGTCCGATCCCGCAGCGCATTGGTCCTCCCATTGTGGGCGTGTCCTATCCTGCTGCGCATTGCCCCTCCCATTGTGGGCGTGTCCTATCCTGCTGGGCATTGCCTCTCCCATTGTGGGCGTGTCCGATACCGCAGTGCATTGCCCCTCCCACTATGGGCGTGTCCGATCATGCAGCACATTGCCCCTCCCCCTATGGGCGTGTCCGATCCTGCAGCGCATTGCCCCTCCCACTGTGGGCGTGTCCGATCCTGCAGCGCATTGCCCCTCCCACTGTGGGCGTGTCCACCCCTCAGACACAATCTCCTGTGGAGAGCGGTTCAGTCAGAACAGAGCTGCGAGCTGAAGCTGTTGGGAACGGTGAATCCGCACTGACCTCACTGTCGCCCGCCAGGCCTCGTGGGCAGCGGGCCCTGGGTGAGCCAGTGGCCGCTGGAGCTCAAGGGCGTGGTGGGCGGAAACGCTACGCTCAGGTGCCAGATACATCCCGACGCCGGGCAGCACATTTCCGGCTGCAACGCCTTCTGGTACCTGCAGGATTCCCGGGGCCGGTGGCAGGAGGTCGAGCAGTCTCCCCGGCACGCCGGCAGGCTCGGCAAGTCCCGGGACAGCGCCACGACCGCCGCCGCCCTCACCCTCGCCCCGCTGCAGCCCAACGACACCGACGTCTACTACTGCACGCAGTCCTGCCGCGTGGACGGGCGCATGCTGCAGTACCACGGCAACGGCACGCTGCTCGTCGTCCGAGGTGCGGCTCC